GGGGTTTTTTTAAATAATTTTTTAGGGGCTCATACAACTCTTATCACAATTCATACATACATCAATTGTGTAAAGTGCATTTGTACATTCATTGCCCTCATCATTCTCAAAACATTTCCTCTCCATTTAAGCCCCAGAGTGTTTCTCATTTTAGAGCTCAGGTGCTTGCCCGGGGTGGCTCTTGGCCCCTCAGGGAACATTTATTCTTCAACGTCTGGAGGCACACCAGGAGCTCCCAGCTGGAGCTGAGCACCTGAAGGTTAGAGCTAGGCTTGCCACTAAAGGTCCCAGAACATCTCCCTCCACCCACACTTCAAACACTCACTCTGATTATATTACCCCCTCAACTTCCAATTTTCTGCCAAACAACAAATGGGTCTACAGGGAGAACAACACTAAGGGGGCAGGGCTCCTTAGAATAACTGACCATTTGAGATGGAAGGGGCAGTGTTTACTTAAGGACAAAATTCGGAAGGCTTAGGAAAGAAAAGAGAATGGAAACCAGGAAGTGTGATAAATGATGTGACATCTCGGGAACTGCAATCAATGACATGAAACAAAATGTGTACAGATTGCTGAATAGAAAACTGATCTGCTGTAGAACTCTCACCCAATTCACAAGAAAACAAAGTGTGAGAAGCCAAGCCAGCCTTAAGAACTTCCCAGGTTAGGTTGTTTACACGTGTATCTCCTCCACAAATTGAATTCTTCACAAATGAATCCCCAGTACAGCAAAGTGCTTGGCACAGAGCAGCAGAGGCAGACACGATTTAATGGTGGGGTGATCTTAGAGCCATTCCCCAAAACCTTCCCCTGTGCTCATCTCTATTAAAGGTAGGAAACCCTACATACTATTTCCAATTTCTGTGGTGGCCAGGAGTGAACAGACACGGTTTAGTCAATGAGATGCCAGCAGAAGACAGCTGAGGGAGCTTCTGCAAAAACTTGTATTCCCTATGGACTCCCAGGACAAGAGGAGAAGCAAAGAATAAGTCTCTGTCCTTGCTGAACCCACCAAGCCACTGGGCCTGCCCCACTCCAGACTGGCTGCAAGGGCTACTTCAACGGCTTTATTGCTAAAGGCTCTGTCAAGGTTTTGTTCCTGAGCTGAATGCATTCCTATCTGGGAAGTAAATGAACAAATACATGCAGAATGAAATCTAATAACGAGTCAGAAGATTATATATTTTCAAATTGGGCCTCTAAGAATCTGTCCAAACTTTGCTAAAGTATGCCTATAAATCAGTCTGCGTTCTTCCACAATTATTGATCCATTTCTTTTCACAGCTTCTTAATGGATAAAAAAAGTAGTATAACCTCTTAAAAAGCAGGGAACTGTTCACATGCAAAGATGCTGTAGAAATTGATTTTCACATTTTAGAACAGAGTAGAAACCCCAACTGGATGACTGGGCTCTGACCTTGAAGCAGTTTGCTACTGCTGAAGCTATGACAGGCAGAGGGGAGCCTGAATTCCTGGGGTCAGCTGGTTCCCGTTCTCATACTTTCTTATCCCCACATCTCTGAGATCCAGCTGGGTTTTTGCTTTGTTTTAGCCCCAAGTGCTCAAACCACTTCTTTTATTTCTTCTTCTTGAGGAAAAAAAGAGTTGAGCCTAACTATTACTCCTACAATATCAACAAATTTAAGTAAAATATACCAAAATGAGAGAGCAGCGTTGTCCCGCACCATCTTAATCACATGCAGACCGCTTGGCCAGATAATATTTATATTTTAATCAAATGACTTTCTTTTTTTTAAAGTATATTTTAAAAAGAAGCAATTGCATTGATGGAAAACCAGCACCACTTGCCATACATGTAAGACAAATGTAAATGTATATCCAATGAAAACATCCTTATTAAATTATAGCTGTTAAATGCCAAAGTCTCTCTGCTTAAAAATAAGGGGGAAAGAAGAGTGTTCAGGATAGGGGTTGAGAAGAGATACTAATGACAGGGAGCCCTATGGGGCATACTGGGCTACTCATTGGGCTGCAACTGCAGGATCAGCAGTTCACACCCACCAGCCAACTCCTAGGGAGAAAGATGAGGGGCAGTTGCATTCAGTCCTACAGAGTCACTATGAATGGGAATCAACTCGATGGCAGTGGATTTGTTCGGTTGTTTGAACCAACATCAAGCTGAGACTTTTTCCCAGGCATGATCAGGGCAGAAAGAGAATGGGAAAAGGAATTAATAACTTTCTGGTTGTTTGATTTCCTTCTGCTTAATATCATGCCATGTCCAACCTAAAAGTATTACTCATACAATGTCAAAATACCTTTCTCTGTTGCTCAGAAAAAAGGGCTGAATTCTTTACTGCAGCCTAAATGACCTTGCACCATCTGGCCCCATCCCCACCACACAGCTCCCATCCTGTGCCCTTTGGCTGCATAACAAGTTACACAGCAGACAGCAGACTTCACGGGTCATAGACAGCCCACTGTGTGCTTTTATGTGGCCTGTGAGTCAGGAATGCTTTGTTGAGATATGTTTAATTAATCTGATGAGTTTTATTGGTGGTGTGTGCTGAGTGAATTCCAATTCATAGCAACCCTTCGAGGCAGAGGGGAGCTGCCTCATAGGGTTTCTGAGGCTGTACTCTTGCGGATCACCAGGTCTTTGATCCAACAGACCTCGGGGACTACCACTGAGTGCTTCACCATTGTGCCACCAGGGGTCCTAATCTGGTAACAGGATAATCTGAACCCCCATTAAGCGAATATCTCCTCTCCCTGAAAGAACTCCATTTTCCTTCTCGTCGATTCCAATTCATGGTAATCCCATGTACAGACTATTAGTAATCTACAGGGGTTTGCTTGCTGAAAGAGGATCTGAAGCACTTACTGATGCGCATCAAAGTCTACAGCCTTCAACATAGATGACACCTCAACAAACAGAAAACAAAACCAACAAGCAGCATGATAGCGAACGGAGAAAAGATAGGCATTGTCAAGGATTTCCTTTCACTTGGATCCACGATCAACTATCATGGCTACTGCTCTCAAGAAATCAAACTACTCCTGTAAGGAGGTCCAGTCTCAGCAGCTCTCACAGGGGCAGTTTTACCCTGGCCTGGAAGGGTGCTGTGAGTAGACGTCATGGCAGGGCGTTTGGTTTTGGTTTTATTGCATTGGGCAAATCTGCTGCAAAAGACCTCTTTGAAGTGTTGAAAAGCAAAGCTGGCACTGGGAGGACCAAGGTGTGGTTGGCCGTGGTATCTTCAGTCGCCTCATATGTATGTGAAAGTTGGACACTGAATAAGGTAGGCCAAAGATGAATCGATGCCTTTGGATTATGGTGTTGGCAAAGAACAGCGATATACCATGGACTGCCACAAGAACAAACATATTTCTTGGAAGTACAGAGTTCGCCTTATGAGCAAGAAAAGAGAGACTTGTCTGTCGTACTATGGACATGTTATCGGGAGCCAATCCCTGGAGAAGAACATCATGTTTGGTGAAGAGGACGGACAGAGAAAAAGAGGAAGAACCTGAAAGAGATAAGATTCAAGCAGCGGCTGCAAAAATGAGCTCAAGCATAGCAATGACTGTGAGGGTGGTTCAGGACCAGGCAGGATTTCCTTCTGCTGGACACTGGGCAGCTATGAGTTGGAACCAATCAGAAAGCCCTTAGAACAACACCTGGATCAAACTCCCCGCCCCCCTCCGCGGCTAGCTCTCTCTGTGATCACTCAAGTTGCATCTCAAAAGGCACAACTGCTGAAATGTAGCTCTCCTCCCAGCCTATCTGGGATCGGCAGAAGACATGGAATGTGTGGCAAATCGCCTCCCAGAGCAACTATCTCCTTTGCCTCGAGACTGGAAGAACTGAATGACGCCCAGCTACCACTACTAAACATTGTGATCAAAGATTCTATAGAAGAATGCTAAATGGCAGAAAATGTAGAACAGAATTTTTAATTCTCACGCATTCCAGAGTTTCTGGGGCAGAGAGGAGGGAAGGGCTATTGTCCTCAGATCATCTTTAAACCAAAAGAATCTTCTGAAGTCTTCTTAAGGCAAAATAGTTTAGGAAAAAAAAGGAGTACTTGCCTTAAGTATTGTGCTCTTTTAAGACCTATCTGTACAGGATCAAATTGACAACAGCAATGTCAAGATGACATAGGATCCTCACTTGGCAGTGATTTTATGTCAATGAGGGAGCAAAGCTCAGAGGAGGAGCGTGAGAATGGTAGCACTAGAATGTGACCCACGCTGAGTAGAAATGGTTGAACTGATGTATGTTTTGCTGTGCAGATTCTCAACCAAATTAAAAACTATCCTTCCTATCGGACAGCTATCTGATGAGGCCTCCTTACCTGACTTATCCGCAGCACAGACACACGGTACTGGGCACAGGTGAAGGAGTTTGCATATTACACGGAATCCCATAAAAAATGGTCACCTCTCAATTACGTGTACTTTGGACACATTGTCAGGAGACCAGTCCCAGGACAAGGACATCAGGCTTGCGGAAGCAGAGGGGCAGCGGAAAAGAGGGCCGGTGCAACCAGGGCTCTAACGTAAGGACAAACGTGAGGGCGGCACAGGACGGGGCAGTGTTTCCTTCTGCTGTGCGTCGGGTCGCTATGAGTCGGTACCCACTCCACGGCATCATGGATCATTTCATAAGACGCAAGCTAACAACTTTTAAAGTCGCAACACCCTTGTTTGGGCAAGTACCTGACGCGGAAACTGTAGCACAGAGTGGCTGATCAACTCGCCCACGATCCCACAGCTAAAAAGTGGCAGAACTAAGAATCTGGCAACCCCGCCACCTCCAAGAAGGTGGGCGCCCTGATGGTGGGTGGTCTGGTTCGCGGCGGCATCCCGGTGCCCATCAAGGGCCGGGCAGGGAGTGAGCGCTCAATAAATGTAAGCAGAGGGACGCGACGAATGGATGGATGGAGGCATCCGGACGAATGAGCGCCTCGGGGGGGGGGGGCGGTCTTGGGGGGCCCCTCCTACGCAGGCCGCGCGCCCACAGGGGCCCTCACCTTAAAGTCGCGGCTGTGCTGCGGGGTGTACTCGAGGGTCCAGAGGGCCCGCACCAGGTGCGCCAGCTGCTCGGTGACCTCGCCCTGGCCGTGCGCGCCGCGGCCGGCGGGCGGCTCGGGGTCAGGCGAGGGCTCGGGCCGCCCCGCCCGGTACTGGCCCAGCGCCAGGTACTCGGCGAAGAGCTCGGTGTTGCTGAGACACTGCAGCGTGGCGTTCATGAAGCACGTGTTGCCGTGGTTCC